CAAGCTGGGAAAGCCCTCCAAAAGATTCACCAGAGAGAGTCACTGTACGTGGCAGCTGCATGTGTGGCGAGCTCCATCTCCTCCTCGCTGCCAACGAGGGAAATTCACTGCTAGTGACCAGGGCACAGCGCAACCAATGGGGGGACGGGGCGAGGAGCAAAAATAAACCTTCTGGAACAGTTGCGGGTGGAGCTGAACTGCCAACACGTACCCCTTTTTCCTCCTCATAACGCACTGCGACGCCGTGTACCGCCCAGTATACCTGCAGGGCACCATCATCCCCGCCCCCACGATGTTGGTGCGGCAGCGCAGTCGCCGCACTCGCCGTCTCGCATCGAGACAGTTGGCAACTGTATCCGAGGGGGTTCTCCCGTAGCGTGTGGGTGTCGCGATGGTGCCGATGCGGCGTTTGTTGGCCTCTAGCGGTGTTACTGGTAGCTGCTGGTCCTCGGATTCCTGTGGCAAGAAAGAGAGAGAGGGGTAAAAAAGCAACTAACACGAAGAACTGCACGACAACAGCGGAACTGGTAGCGTCAGCGCACTTGATATTCCCTTCCAGTGTGGTCCACGTGCCACCCGTCCCACAGAAGAGCTGCCTCCTCGTCTTGCAACCGTCGTTGCTCCTGATTGCATCCAACTTTCTGCATTGTCATGCCACCCTTCGGATTCATCACGCGAGAAAAGTCACTCATACTGCCTGTAGTTTTTATTCCCACCTCCTACACGGTAAAAGGTGCCCTGGAAGGCCCAGTTTGCCTGCCCGAATTCTCCACGTCGCGGCGGCGCCGCGGTATCAACTACATGCCAGTAGAATAACAGAGAGACGCAGGCACTTGCAAGAACAGATATCATTCACTCTCTCTTTCAGGCCGACGTCTTCTTCTTCGACGACAGCCGTGGCGCCGCTGAGGCAAACTGGGCACTCTTGTTGACTGGGTTGGGCACCGTCAGCTCCAGGGCCAAGGTGCGCGCCAAATCGTGCCATGAGCGCCGCCCTGCGGCCGGTAAAAAGGGCGCAGCATCGGCCTCAGCCCCAAGGGAGTATAGATCGAGAAGTTCACTCTTGCAGCTTTCACTGAAGGTCGACGCCTCCGCCGCTGGTGTTGAAGACGAAGCAAGCGGTGGCGGTGTCGCCCTAGTGCCCTCAAAAACTTTGTTGGTCAACTCGCCGCAGTACTCCCGCCACACGGGCGTTCCCTCCTCCACCACAGCCTGCAGCACAGCGTGCACCAACTCAGCGATAATGTTCTCCATCACATGCGTACCGAGCACATTCAGCACAAGTTGTTCTGCGGCCGCTCGTGTAGCAACGCTGTGTGATCGATCCTGCCGTGAATACATCTGCAACTCCCCCAGGCAGCTGAGGAGAATAACAGCCTTTTCTTCTTGACGTAGCCGCAGCGGCTGCTCCGTGGCACCGCCACCCTCCCTTGCGGAGTCACCCTTCCCGTGCGTTCCCTCCTCACCGTGTGTTGGGACGCCACCATCGGCCGCGGTGTCGCGAAAAAGCACCTGCTTCATGTCAAGCTCGTCAAAGAGCCGGGAGAGGCGCCGCTTCGACAGAATGTACTGCACAACGCTACTCAGCTCCACTGCCTCCAACCGTGGCATAAGCCGTGCGACGCGATCCACGGTCTCTTGCTTGGCGTAGCTGTCGCCCACCAACATAAAGTTCACAAAGGCATCCCGTGTGACAACCACAGATCGCCCCCCGCTTTCATCCACGGAGAGCCGTGGGATGGAGTGGCACAAAACCCCCCGCTCCTGCAAATGAGATATCGTGGACGCAAGCCTGCCCCGGCGACGATCCTCCTTTTTGTGTGTCACCCCGTCAATGTACTCAAAGTCCAGACGGATGTGTTTCCATAGCTGCTGCATCATTGCATTGTGTCGCTCAGGGTCAACATAAGTTCGGCAAATGGCGTTTCTGGCAATGTGTGAAGCACCAGCGGCGTGCTTCCCCCACGAGTCATACTCCACGTCGCAGAGGCGACAGGTGGCGCATCGCGTCGCGGTGAGAAGCACCGCAGTGAAGTGAATTCTCACGCCATGCGTAAAGCCGCGGCGCATGGAAACAGACTGCAACACTTGCCGCCCCCTCCCTCTCCCTCTGACTCTCGCTCTGTGTAGGCGGCGTAGCCAAAGTCGTAAAGGCAAAGACAACGCGGGGCCCCGGGTGAAAGCAGAAGATGTTCGCCTCCCTCGCACTTTTCTGCCCCTCACGGGGTTCTCCGCTGCTCCTGTGGAATCCTCCGCAAGAAGAGAGACGGCAACCAGGAAAGAGAAGAAACAATAACAACAGCAAAAAAAAACTGCCAACTTTCCTCGCGGCGGTGGGGGCGAAGTGGTCTCTGGTGTGAGAAAGGCCCACACAATTCCAGAGCCGTCGGCAACACACCGTTCTTAATCAGCAGAAATATGAAATGAAACAATAAAAAAAATTGGAAGCCAGACGGGGGCACCACTGACGGGACAATGACACACACGAGCCAAACAACGAGAACATGACCCTCCATGTCTCCTGCCAGACATCCCTCTCACACGTGCCTAACCCTTGACGCACAAGAACAGAGACGCACACGCACACACGCACGGACAGAGACATACTGTCTCGCAGTTTGTATCCTCCTCAGGCCCTCGTATGTGCTGCCTTTTCTCTGTCCCCATGTTGTCCTCATCATGCCTTGATGTTGGTCTTGAAGTGGTTCTTGATCCTGCGGTTGACCTCCTTCAGGTAGCGGCAGCGGCCCGTGCCGGTGCGACGGCGCTTGATGGACTTGACGGACCAGTTGTAGCGGCGCCGGCTCGCACGTGGATAGGCGCAGGCCGCACAGCGCTCCCACTGCACGTGGTACGCGTTACGGCCGCAGCGGCGGCAGAGGATGTGGGTGCGCCCGTGGCGCTGGCCCATAGATGTGGTACCCTTCGTCATCTTTGCGTCTGGCCTAGCACATAGCAGGGAGGTAATAATAAAAATAAAATAAAATAAAAATAAAAATGTGTCAAAAGACAAAGTCACACAGTTGGAATGCAAGGCTACTTAGAGTGCAGAATAATTCAACTTTTTTTCGTTCTGTTTTAATACGTTGGGACGAAAAAGGGTTGAGATCGCTTTTAACTCATACAAACCCAGCGGCGTGGGGACAAAGGCAGACCCGTTACGTCATCCTCCGCATACTTTTCCTCCGCTTGCTCCGCCTGGCAACTGCCCTGCCTGCGCCCCTCCTCCCTCGCGCCCGGCTTCGTCTCGGTGCACAATGTCGTCTCCTCTTCATTGCCGACGGGGATGTGCCACGCGAGGGGCCTCAGCTCTTGTATGCACCGCGCATAGGGCTCAGGCATTTCCCAGTGCAGAAGCGTGCGGCCATCCTCGCGAGAGCACTTAAAAGCGATGCGATGTCGATCCCGCCAGCGGGCGAAGAAACGAGGGCTGAGAAGCCTAAAGTGGTGGTCCCGCATGAGGTCGTTTGTTAACACCCAGACCGTCTTTTCCGGACTCCCAGCGGCAGCGGTGTCGGTTGGCGTCGTGAGCTCCAAAGCCGCATAAAGCCAGCAGAGATCGTCGTTGAGGCCACTTGGGGTGCAGTAGAGGATACCCACACGACGCCAATACGCCACGATCACCTCGTTTTCTGCCGTCAAGTTCTTCGACTCACAATGTCGCTCGTGCAGGAGGATCAACGGCTGCATCCCGCGACGTCGTGCCTCCTGCACCGCGAGATCGATAAGCTGAAAGTTGACGGTGACGTCCACAGCACGCTGCTTTGTCCACATCACATCCTTCGGCATGATTTCCTCTGATTTCCTGCCACGCTTCAGCAGGAGTGCCCGCTTCGCCTCTTCGTACCAGCTGCTCAGACCGTAATACCCCAAGTTAGCCCCATCGATCAGCACATCGATATGTTGCCCGTGGGCCGAGACGTACCGCCTCCACGCCTCAAAGGCAACCCTGACGCGTGTGGGATTGCCCCGTGGAGCCATCGCCGCAACTTTCATCACATCATTCAGGAGCCCTGTCTTTTGGGCGGCAGTGAAGCGGTGCCCCCTGAGCACATTCCCGCAGCAGGAGCACGTGCCAGGCTCCCGGGCGGCGTCGTCGTGTGGGAAGTGAACCTCGGCAATGCGAAGCCCCGCTGCTTGGGCCCACGGCTGAAGCACATCCGTCACCATAGCCGCCGGCACGTCCAAGACATGCTCCTGCATCTCTCGCAGCATAAAATGCAGTGTAGACACCGGCTCGCCAACGGCCACGCAGAGTCGGCCCAGTGTAACGTAGTCCGCCGCACGCAGCTCGATGCCCTGTCTCAACGCCTCCTCATACACGGCGAACGCCATGCGACGGTCCCCACGCCCACACCAGAAGGTCAAAAACACCGAAACACTACGAAGACGCAGGAGACCTTTAGCAGCCATGTATGAAAACATATGTGTCGCCGCGGGAACGTCGCCCACAGAGCACTGAAGACGAAGTATAACGGCAAGGACGCTCTCGTCCGTCCACGCCTCTACGAGCTTCGACGCCTGCACGCTTCGCACCAGTTCAATGCCTACATTCTCCCTATGACTTTGCTCGCAGAGGAACAGGGCACTCGCAAATGCCTTCATCGAAAAGACGGATTGCCCCAGGCCGAGACGAATTTCTTGTGCAACCTCCTCAACATGGCCCCTGCCGACGAGCTGCCCCACTCTGCGTTGCAACTCCTCGGCCGGTGAGGAGCTCTTCCACCTCACCTGTTGGGGAAAGACCGGAGAGACCGCAGCGAAGCCGATCAGCGCGACAAGCGTGAAGCCCCGCCGCATCCGCGCATCAGCGCACACAACCTCCCTCCTCCCTTTCCACCCCGCCTCGCGACAGGAGAACAAAGACGGCAACACACTCGAAAAGCGGCGGGCGGAAGCAAAGGCGCATGTACGTGACAAGCAGAAACACAACAGGAAGAAGTCAAACCATGCATATGCCTGTGTGTGTGGGGGGGGGTCAACGGCTTAACTGCGTGCTGCTTCGCCACAGCTCAGCTCCATCAGTGCAAACACAATCACGCAGAGATAAGCATTGTTAGCTGTTTTTTTTTGTTTGATGTTTAAAAGGCAAGAACAAAAACAAGAAAACAAAAGACAGATTGGGGCCCAAGTCAAGTCTTGGGGAGGAAATGAAAAAAAATGTGCGAAAGAAACGGGAGAGAGGGCACAGCGAAATAGAAACACAGCTACACGCACACGCACACACACCCGACCAGAGAGCTGGGCAGACGAGAGGGATAGAGAGAGAGCCAAACACGTGTGGCCGGAAACAAGGCTTTCAGCGCGACACGCTCCGCAGTTTTCTTGCGACAAACAGCACTAGAACTTGCACCGCCCACAACACCATGAAGAAGAAAAAGACGACCCAGATGACGAAGCGAAACAGGGACAATTTTCCACTGACCACCACAAGATATTTACAGAATCCAGTTACTGCACGATTCTGGTAGATAAACATTGAAATTTGCAGCAAGGTCAGCGGCAGCACAGCCCACATCAGGCGGAAGACGCTTTCACGGCTGAGGAGCAGCAGTACAAGTAGGACTAAGATATTAAAGAGGGAGGCCCCCGCCAGCGCCATCGTGGCGATCGACGCTGCTTCGCACCCCATCACACTCACGGCCCCCATCACTAAAAATGAGACGTTCAATTCAAGCAGAAAAAGGCACGAAACATGTACCATGCGAACGACTGCTGAAAACCGCTCGATGATGTGGCTGCTCTGAAACCCAAAACATGCAAACCCAAAGCAGTTGACAGAGTCATACGTTGCGAGAGCGCGGAACATACGCAATATGCACACCCAAGTGGTCGCAATGGCAGTCGCGGTCAGTAGCCCAAGAGAGTAGTGCTGAGGCGCATGCAGTGAGTCAGGCTCAGCATCGACGAGCACAAACGACTGATAAATAAATTGCGGCATCGCCACGCAAAGCGAAAAACAAAGACTAGATAAAACCTGAGCGGCGACAATATCGTGCAAAATAGCAACGTGATTCCTTTTTCGCTGTCTCCTTCGATACTGCACATAGGTAAAAAAACTCACCATGTTATATAGCGGCACCACCGGCACCACGAGAAGGTGTGGCGAAGGAAAGGCACAGAGCATCTTGCCGTAGACTACGTTCCGTGCCTTGCCACGCATCAAAAAGATCATGCCAATGAGATGCGCCGCGTACCCGATACCATACACCAGAGCTGTATAATAGCCAAAAATTCCATCCGGTACCCCGCGCCCGTGGCTTATCCAGTGTGCCAACACGAGAATAATGCTGACCAAACAAAACAACTCCAAAAACATGTTAATAATCATCGTGAAGACATCAAAACACCATGTTGATTGAACGTAATTTACACGAACAGAATTTAGTTGGCCGGGTGGTAAAACATGGGGGTACTGGCATAACAGTTGCAGAAACTCAAATCCGCTATCCTTCATTATCGCATACTGCTTTGAACTGAGGCGTACAAAGTCCAGCTTCAACAGTGACGGCAGGTACTCATAGACGCTTACTGGAACTCTATCAGCTTCGGAGGGGATAACGGTGTCTACGCAACGCTGTATCTCCGCATGCACGGCCTCGTCCGAGATATCCAGAGCTTCGGACTTAATGATCAGGCACACTAGATATGGATTTAGCCGTGCCTCCTTCAGTTCATCGCACGTCACAGGATTTTTCTCCGATCGGCTTGACAGGGCAGCGACGACAAGGTGACCAAAACAGTCGCTTGGGTTCTTGCGGTAGGCGCGCAACGTCGAGACAAGATCAATCTCGATACGCGTAAGCTCCACTTCCTCTTCTTCCTCCTCCTCCTCCTCCTCTCCGTCGGGTAGGTCGTCGGTATTAAGACGTTTAATGTAGTTGGCAGTGTCGAAAGGTTCACGCCGGCTGTCGGCGTGTACAACCTGCAACAAATACGCGTCCTGCGAGGGATTATCCTTGCCGAACTGCGGCTCTAACATCATCTCCAAGAGACGACCGGCACTCCCAGCAGCAAACCGAATGGCTGCCGTTGCTTTATTTTGAATGTTGTCCCACAGCCTTGGATGCTGCGCGTTGTCATTGTGCCCACCAAGCGGTGTCTCCCGCTTCTCCTCCCCAAAGCTAAACGGGTCTTTGGGTGTGACGCCCAGATCCATCTCCGAGCGGGCGGTGACAAACGCCGAGGATCCCTCCGTGATCAACCCGCCCTCATTGACGGCTTCGCGCGGTGTCTCCCCCAACAGGTGCACAGGCTGCACCGATATGTTCGAGGAGCTGCGACTCGAGAGGCCATCAAACATGTTCTAACAAAAATCAAACTAAATGAAATACAAAAAAAAACAATCTATCCTTTAAGAAAAAAAATACTAGCATTAATAATATCAAAGACACGATAGGAAAAAGAATTAACCAAGTCGCGTTTGCCATTCGCTTTTTCCCCAACGACCTCTCAAAGGCTCCTTTCTAGCAACTCAGTCACTGGCCCGAAGCAAACTCCCACACCGCTTCGTCGCGAGAGCGCCGACGAAACAAGTGCCGCGGATGCCTTTAACCCGCCCCGCCCCGCCTCGAAAGCACCTCCGCAGGATTGTCCGCCGGCACCCCCCG